TCGCATCCCAGATCTTAACAGTGCTGTCGCGTGATGCTGACGCTAGCCAGGTCGAGTCGTGCGAGAAAGCTATTGAGGTAACATCATTCCCATGACCCTCGAGCGTCTGCAGGCACGCACTCCAGCCGTTACTTGTACCTGGCTTGACAGCCACTCTCCTTGGCTTTTCGTGCTGGAATAGTTTTCTTATTATACTGTCTGCTGGACTGAATAGCAGAGCAGATGCGTACGCTTGTAAAGGATATTTCTCGATTGCCTCTTTGTGGTACATGATAAATCGTCGTGCATCGTACACAATCTTATTCAATTCGTCCGTGTCTCCGAGTTCCTAGCCACATTAGTAACTATGTACATTGTAAAGACTATTTGCAGCCACGTAGGCTATACCTGGACTAAATGCCACAGCTTTGTCATCAAAACCACCCCTTTGTCCATGCTTCTGCACAAGCTGAGCGCTTCTAGCCAGTAAATATATCTGTGCCTAAGGAATGCGTCTATTGTTCTGGTGTCTTCTTGATTAGCAACACCGTGTGTGAATGAATTGTGTTTTGAGTCGCAGAAGTGATCAACCCAGTACACACATGGATAGCGCGACACGGCTAGAGGATCAAGAATAGGCGGCTTGACATCTCCCGCAGGATATCCAGGTGCTTGGAGGTTATACATATCTCTGTGTAATGTTTTCTGCAGAATAGAAAGTGATTGTACAAAAATGTCTTGATGTACACGTTCTATACCATCTTGAAAGACCTTGTCTGACGCTTTTGTGACGAGGAAGTCTTTCGCTGACTGATGCACAAAGTAAATTGTGTCGTCACGCAGCGTGAGGAACGATCCGCAGAGACCAATGATCTCCCGCACAGACTCTAGGTCATTAACAAGTTCTGCAAGCTGCTCAGTAAGTACAACTAGCTCAGCAACTGTGACAGGTCGATACAGGACAGCAGTCACTGCCAGCACCCGCAGACACATATCCGCGCTGCTAGACTCGCTTACTATCTGCTGCAGCATCCGATTGTACAAAGCATCCAGTCCAGGCGGGAACTGGGCCAGCTTCTTGTGCACGTTCCACCTCGGCGTTACTTTGAGGTCTTGGCACACCAACGCAACCCAGAGGAAGGTATCGTTCGCATTCAACTTTAAGTGCTGGAGCACGATGTGCTGAAGCTTTTCTTCGTACTTATTCTCTTTCGCTAACTGTTCTACCTTCTGCTCGATAAAGACATCAACTGCCGCAGCGACCGACTTTGCGTTAAGCTCAAGGCTTAGTTTCATCTTGTGTCCTGCGTGCTTGAGCTGTGCCTCAATGTCTGGCCAGTTGCGACTAGACACGATCCACTTGACGCGAGAGGACACCGACGACTGCTTCGCAATAAAGCTGAGCAATTTCGGTAAGTCTGTCACGCATTCGTCCAGCGCGTCAATAATTAGGTACGTTGTGCCTAGGCTTACATCTTGCAACACGTCGGTGAAGATCTCTGTCAGGACGACCCAGGCATTCGTGTCCTCGAACAAGCCTTTGCCTGCTTGGTCGTACTTCTTGCTGACATGCGACATAAGCGACGGTTGCCGGTGTAGGAGCATGTACAACAAGCCTCGTAGCACAGCTGTGGCACTATTAATGCGCGAGTCTGTCGCTTGGCAGAAGAAGTACAGCAGAAGAGCAGTCCAAGGTATAACATCTTGCAGTTCATCGATGATGCCACACAGTAACATTGTTTTTCCTTTACCAGGGTCACCTTTCACCCACAATAGTCGGCTATCCAGGTGCTGTTGCCATTGCTGGAAAGTAGGGTTGTCAAGCACCCAGCGGTAGGAGTCTGCGAGAAGACCGCCCTTAGTATCCTCGATGCGCTTCTTATCGTCCTGAGGATCTGTCCGGCGTATATCTTGAAGACACTTATTTTGCTTGTCGACCTCATCTGTAACTCGTTTCATCGCTTCAGCTAAACTCTCACCGTCGAACGGCGATAAGCTGACTCCCAAAATTCCCATAAGGGAGTACGCGCGGTCCGCTGGAATTGTTGTTATCCGATGTTCATTCCACGAAATCCGTTCATTTACACTAAAATCGGACAAAGGCGTGCTCTGTAGTGCTGCTTCAGGTATGCGCGTAATTTCACATAACACTGACAACAGTGATGACTTGCTACCTAGTTTTTGCCCATCTTTGGAGAAGAAATCCACCATAGGTGGCGCAAGGAGTTCCTGCAGTGTCCAACCACGAGTAAACCATCTGCTGCGGCGGAAGGCTGTGTAGTCGCATGACGACTCGGCTGCTTCACCAGAATAGATCATGATTCCAGCAACGTCGGATAGGTAGACATAACATCGGGCCGCGTTGCGATACCAGCGAAACATCGATCGGATGGAGAAGGCAAGCTCAGCCTTGTCGTTCTTATCAATGCAGCATGTGTCAATCCAGAAGTACTGTAGACCGTCATGTCGTGCCT